TTTAAAAATTACAGAATTAGATGTACTAAAACATAAAGTCCAGTGATAAAAAAAAGTAACAAAATCAGGCAAAAGAACACTTTTCCAGATCGATTTTTTTCAATAAAAAACTTATGAAACTCTAACAAAACCTGCAGGTCTGTGTCTGGTGAATTTTTGTTTAAACATATTTGTTTTTCATGCAGTGAGTAGAGAATCTATATGTTATTCAAGTCAGAGTAGAGATACTTTATAATAAAATTACTCAAGTAAAAAAGTAAAAAGTACAGCGTCGTAAAAATACTCCTAAAAGTACAAGTTGCTTCCTCTGCTCTGATGGACTGAACATTATTTTCACTTCGTTGGCCTGAGATTTGATGTGAACTCGATGAACATCCCGATAACCGATTAGGGATGCTCTCCCCCGGGGCCCGACACTGGTGGAGGTCTGGAAAGGGAGCCATCCTGGAGAGCCGAAGGATGTGGGTGGAGAAGGGGAGGTGGTGGGTTGACGGCTGACGGCTTCGGTGTGGATCCTTTTATGCAGAGCTTGATTGATGATTGGACGAGCCGGGTGAGGTCCAGAGCTGAGGTCGGAGATGAGCATAACGCCGATGAGCGAACGGAGGTGATGGAGTTTTCCAGGTTGAATTTTCGCTATCAGCTACATAAAGTTAAAAAAAAAACGTATTGATCAAACAGAATGTGTCCCACATGTTTTTTTGAAAATATCACTTGATTTATGATGCAGCATAGAGTGAGTGAGGTTTGGTTACAGAGAAATAACTTTAAATGCATATGTTTAACATCTTTCTTTGTAAAATAAAAAGTTAGACCTATAAATGAAATGATATTGCTGTGAGTTCTCAGATGTATGTTTTTTTAAAGTCAGATGTTATTAATAGATCATAAAACAGAGGCTGAAATTATTTCTAAAATCTTTATTCATGCATTTATTGTTGGAAATGTGTCATCTTGAAAAATACATTTGACATTTTTAGCTACTTAAAAGAAAAAATTAACCAAATACGTCATATTTCAGATCAATTTACATAGAAAATATGTATGAAAATGTTTTAATTGACAATAAATTAAGAAGAACAGCTAATGGAACAATTATTATAACAATGTGATGACATGTTTTTTCCCCCAAAGTTCTTAAAGTGGAGAACTTGATGATTGAACCTCATTACCTCATTGTTCGACAGCTACAATAAAAACAAGAAGCTCGTAAAAGCTGGAAATTATTTTTTTTATGATTTTACATATTTAACAGGAGACCTGTTGCTACAGAAAGTGAAAAATAAGGTAAAGATCTCTTAGAATATTCATCTCTATAAAATGTACAGAGATATAAAGTTGTTTTCTGGACTGAATTGAACTTCACACACAGAAACGCAGCTGCATTTCTGCTTCTTTCTCACAAATACTTCTCAGAAGATCATCACAATCTCTGTCAAGCCACAGGATCCTCAGAGTTTTGTGTCTTCATCGTCCCCACACAGTCCATCGTATTGTTACATTCACCTCTATTCCTCCACCTTTGGACTTGGGCTGCTTGTTTCACCTTCAAGAGATCAGAACAAAGACTTCAGTGAGTCAGGAGAAAGAAATCTTCACAGACAATTGCAGGTTTTATGTCCTGCAGTTATAACTTTCTGTCTCTGTCAGTCCATCAGTGTCTCTTTAGCATCATTACAGGACAGAAATGAGACAGAGATCAAATCCTGAACTTACTTCTTGTTGTACTAGTTGGTGGATACGTTGGAGGTTCTGGACATGTTGAAGGAGGACTTGTTGAAGGAGGACATGTTGAAGGAGGACTTGTTGAAGGAGGACATGTTGAAGGAGGACTTGTTGAAGGAGGACATGTTGAAGGAGGA